ATATATATATATATATATAATTTAAGCTGCATAGATTGTTAAATTGCTATCCGGAAATGATCGTCAATATTTTCAAAGCCACTTCAATACATATCATCTACTACGTACTGTCGATGTTCGCATCCTGTTTGATGGAAAAATAAAAAATTCAAGCATATATTTTCTAGTAGGGCGTAACATACCTCGCAACCCTACACCTCGAGCATTTTTTCAACTCAACTTCGTCTTCTGATGGCTTAGCATAGCAAGTTTTACAGCACCAGGTATCCTCGGTGTTTGGATCTTTTCCCTCATATGGGGGTATACCGTCTCTTAATTTCGATATGAATTACATGGCAGCGTCTTCGGGGAGCGTCTCTCTAAGCGACTGTAATAAGCCAGCAAAGGTGTCATCATCATCATCGGGCGTGAAAGACATTGGAATATCTCAACGACCGTTTTAAAAGGTATATATGAGCTGATAATAAGTCATAAAAGTATGTCTGCTCGTGTATAGTACTAAATAAACACATATATACATACAAAACTCTGAATTTTTTAAAATAATATTAATATAAAATCGTGTTTTTTTATTATAAAAATGAACAGAAAAAACATAGCCTTCTGAAAATAGACAGAAAAAAACAGAAGAAAACAGACGAACCAACCATAGCCTTCTGAAAATATAACGCTAAGCTTTGCGAATCTGTGTGGAAATATATTTATGTATGTACATCCGTGTATTTACTCTATTATTGTGTGCACACAACTATGTATAGCCGATTCCATAGGGATCACAAGCAGTCAAGCACAGCTTATGTAAATAGGAGTGAGCTGAGAAACGAACATGGCTCTCTTTAGAGACGCTTTGAAGTCAGCAATTATGCATTAGTTTTGCTCCTCTAATAAGTCACATGGCAGACGAATTTGATAAGACAGTCGCTATTTGAAGATGCTCTCCACTCGTCAGAAACAGTTGACGTACATGTGCACGTCGGATCACGGGCACATACGCGACACAGTTTTATACACCTTTATTGATCTCAGTAATAGAAGAACAGTTCTACACACCTATACTATGAATATAACGTATTGAATTGGCACAACAATGCTTGTTCACACCTCCAAGGACATAAGGTATCCTGGGCTAATAAAGTACAAGTCTGACTTTTTGTTGATACGTTCTTACTGTGATGCACTACCTATTGCAGTAGTCAGAGTATAAAACATGGGTATATTTTAACGTCTTTATGTATATATATACACACAAACACATATATATATATATATATTTGCATACATACACACATACATATATATATATAGATGTAATATAAATATATATCACACCTCACTTCTTCTCGGGATATATATATGTTCTCATGTGCACAGATATAGATTCACGGCCAGAGTTGAATGTCTCGACACTGACAAAATTCAAGAGAAAAGTACTATTGATTGTGTTTATTCTGACAATTCTACTTTCTATATACAACCCCACACACGCGCGCACAGTCATAGTGATCCCGCCCGTGCTTATAACTTCTATCTTATCACCGACACTGTCAGATTCCCGGCAATGGCAATAATCAGGCAATCAGCTCAATGCGGATATAATTTTAACTTAATGTGAATATAATCTAAGCGGCTACCTTTTGCTTCTTCGCACTATTCTTTTTCGCACTCGATTTACTAGCTACCGCCGCTTTCTTCACCGATGCCTTGGTCTCCTTGACAACGGGTTCAACAACTGCACTATCACTCTCGTCACGCCTTCGCTTAGTGGACTTCTTATCGCTGTCGTCAGTAGGAGTCTTTGTTTCTTCTTTGATCTGAATTACATACGGGCGCGCGCGATAGAACTAGATTTAGTAAGATACATGTATTGTTCTTTTACCCAAATAGAGCATATAAACCAAACACAGAACTCACGTCTGGATGATTGCTACTTCGCACACCTAATATACGACACAGCCTACAATATACAGCACACCATGTGTCTATGTGAAAACACACGCCTGACTATCAGCGACAGTCTTTTCGAGCTACAAAGAATTAGACCCTCCAGCACGCACAAACAGAACAAGCAACACGCCTGGAATCTACCTTTCTTTTGCGCGAACAGCTCATACTTGGTTGACGTCATAAGATTACTTCAGAAACTCTAGTCCTAGAAAATAATGTAATCATAGCCCTGCGCAATTCATAGTCGATCCCCACAAGTGCATCCCACCACCATGTACACTACAGACGTCCATTGTGGAATACCTACCCATCTCAGTACAAGGATGACACATATAGAACTCCAACTGATATGCCATGATAAGCAAATAACCCCACAGTAAGCGAAGATCCTGATCAGTCCAGGCCCTAAGCGTACGGTAAGTGAACCACGTCTACAAACGAAAAAAACATGGCATAAAGAACATTTACAAATATAGGAGCAAGCATTCAAGCAATCGCCTAGCTATTTTGAGTCGAGCACAGTACAGCTGCAAGCTTGCACCAGATACGCGTAACGTACAGAAGCACAGAACGAACAGTCTATTCGTACACATACATACATACCTCACTAACCAACGCATTGTAAAGGGGAAGGCACACAGAGTTCTGTGTTCGCAAGCCGATGCTCTTGATGTTCTTCCATTTACCGTCGATCTTTGGGATTGCAGCGTCAACCACCGCCTGTACGTTGGCCACGACGTCCTCAGCCGATTGGCCGGTGGTTCCTACCTTGATAGTGCTACACAGTAACAGTAAAAGGACATGCAAGAGATTAGCAACTGACACCGACTCTGCTCAGAGATCGGCATACGAAAATGTGAACATAGTCTATTCGTATCGAAATAGAACTACAAACGTCGTCGTTATTTGCCCATACACTACATGAAGGCTTCTCTTTCTATACCCCCTTCAGAGAAGAAATCCTGTGCATAACCGCAAAATAAATAAATGACAATTCCCATTTCGAGGCAATTCCTTAAACATGTATTGAAGTGTACAATACTAATCCTCAACGACATGATATATCGGAGCTTTTGCGATTGAACAAACAAATTAGTGCTCTCACAAAGACACAATACTTCCAATCATTACCGTGCATGGAGCGAACAACTACAGATGTACATAAAACGTCTGGGAAAGAGCACACCAACAACAACCATCACTTGCGAATCAAACCGATATATTTCTTGACGCAAGAATGCAAATGTTTGTAGACGTTTTGCACAAATACAATTCCAGCGAAATACTACATACTCACTTGAATAACCGCAGGATAGCATTACGTTTGGGAGGCGATCAGAGAATGCAGATTGTTCGACAACAGCTCATACAGTTGTAGCGTCATGATTTGGTTCAGAAACTCTAGTCCTAGAAAGTGTGTAATCATAGCCCGTCGAACTATCTCCCCTTGCACCACACCTACACAGGCAATGTACTTATATATTGATAGGTTAGACTCTATATATATACTGAAGTTGAAGCTAATGCATCAGCATATTGGATTCATTACAATATACCCAACCACATCAAGAGAACATCAAGAAAGTCAGTTCCACCCAATGACACGCCAAAATCACGCAGCTACACATCAACAAATACCCATAATATATATATATGAAATTATATACATCAAAACCACACAGCTACTTACATGCAATTTCCTAGGCCAACACGCATCTGCGTGCAATCTCGCGCACGCACGATCTCTTTGACCATGTTCTCCTTTCTCAAGTTGACGCCGATAGGCATCCTGAAGAAATCAGTGCATTTGCATTCAAATCATTAGTTGTGTGTTTCGTAGTACGTGCGTTGTTATAAATTGATAATAGCGCATTTGGGTTGTAGTCGTGAAGATTCGAAACCCAAGCGCAAGTTTTATGTTGTTCACGCTTAGAGTGCACCAGCACCATCTGATCACCTAAAGTGTCCCCATTACCCGTGAAAGGGCGAACGAGCCATGGTTCACTCCATAGTGAGCAGAATCTGTACCGCTCCGAGACACAACTAAGAGAATACGGTATAGCGTTCTCAGACATGAGGAAAAAAAAAGGCTTCACCACATTCAACCTCCAAACATACAATGTGGGCACTAAAAATTCACGGTCAAGAACGCTGACGTACATATTTGAGACTCACTTCGCATGAAGTCCACGACCCACAGGTTTAACAAATCGTGCGGAAACAAGGGCGATGACAAAGAAAAAATACATACTCATATATAGATTCCTCGATATATATAACTACGCGAACGAATCAGGTTTTCCGTCTACTCTGAATTATTGCCAAACGAATTGTATGTCATGATGATAGGGGACATATGATTATAATAAACGCACTTGTCAGGCAATTCAATACCAATGTATACAAGCACATGCAAATATACACATACACTAGACGTACAATAATCACCACAGGTTCTCATATATATATATATGCGTATGAGCAGACTTACTTTTTCTTCCCGAAGAAGTACTTGCCCAGCAAGTGCGGCAGACTGGGCATGATGCGGTCATCAGCCATGAATAGATCGTATGAGTCACACAGTGTGCGCTTGCTTTCGTATGTTTTGAACTTGGTTTTAAGCTTGCTTAAACTGACCACCTTGGCCACATTGGGAACCTTCTGCTCGGCCACTTTGTCCTTCCACTCGCGTTCACCGGTTTGGGGGTCCTTCGTAATCAAACAGATTTCGGTCTGTTCGTTGCTGAAGGGGTGTGGTACGGGTCTGTGTACAGGAGCGATATGTGATTGGTATTATTAGTATCACGCACTTGCACGGCCAAATAGATACGAGGAAAATGATACCCAAGAGCACATAAGACTTGGCTTCGCTCGTGTGGGTATAACGCCCCAGATATCTTCACATGAACACATGTCAAAGGGACGAGTAGATATCAGCAACAGTGATTAACGCAAGTGTGCTCAATATTGGTTCCCACGGCTTGCATATGTATATCTATTAACAGGGATGGGTGGAAAATATGACGAATACTTCGGGTATGGTATGTGAGAACGAAATAGGCAACACGATGTAGGAATATTTAAAGCCATGTGCGATTGTGCTACGTCTGTAAGTATACAAGATTAATGTGTATATTCCAGCAACTAATATAAAGTTTTTTTTACATGTAATTTCTATAGTGACAGACATTCATAACCAATCAGTGTACTAAAATTTGCTAGCAGATATGTAGCCGTTTCTGCCACCGACAACAAATTGTTGCGTGAATATACATGATACGTCCATTATCAGCGTCAACCATACGTCTATGGACACACATAGGCACTAACAGTTCCAGCAACATGAATGCGTTTACAACTGTATTCGAATATACACAGGAATACTGCGGTATTGAGGTGCTCAGCTCAACGCAATCAATTTCATCACGGACGACTAGTCGACATGCGTAGGATCTGCTAGTAAAGGACTGTACTGCGATCGAATCGCAAATCTGTACATAAATTATACGAACCGATGTCCATGATATACAGAGAGCACACACACATTAGTAAAGTAAACTAAATGTATGCATACACGAGGGGCGGACAGTACACTCAAAGCAGTTTAATTGTGTTAGACTGGGAATTTTTGCACTGCTGCTACTTACGAGACAGTCACCAATACCTAATCAGCACATGTGATTTACGTACGTCGATAGAAACGAAAGATGAGAAGGCACAAAGATAGCGATATAAAGCAATAAAATTCTAACTATATGATCAATACACTAATACGGGGTTGATAAGCTGTGCCACCACGCACGAGCTTTAAATACGAAAATCGGCAGCATTCAGCGAACGCATCAACCTCCACTGCGATATACCCGACCGTTAGCACGCACTTACATTTGGATAACTTTTTTCTTGGGGTCGGGAATCTTATCGACAGCAATAAACAGTAGGAATTGCTGATCATCTTGAAGTAGCGTAGAGCTGTTTTCTAGTTGTGCTTTGCTGGCCTTGAGTAGCGCAGGCACTGCCTTTTTCAAAAGTGTTGAATCGATTGACATCTTGTATGTATATGTGTATATGGCTGTTACTTTGCGTGTATGTATATGACTGTCGAACTTGAGTGTGGGTGTGTTTGTATTGCGTTATAGCACTATCCACTGGGTAAAAGTTACAACAGATTAATCAATATCTATATTTGAAAAGTGTATACTGTAATAATAATATAATCCCCCAGTCCCCAGAGTTTCAAATTACGACTGATATGAAGTTCATGTGCACAATTGTCACGTGTATTTAAATAAAAGAATCATTTCAAAAAAAACCAAAAAAACTTCGGTTCTAATGCATTAAAGTTCGGTATTTTAATACATACCCCAAATCGTAAGCAGCAGGATTCAGGAATTTAATTTTTATGTAAAATTGTGATGGAAAGCGATAACACGATCCATGAATGTTTATGAACATAGCGGTATAAGTACGGAGACGAGCTATATATGTCACATGCATTCATACAAGGCAGTTAATCTAGTCTACAAACTTAAGTGTCTAACTACTGTACATTATACTGCCATATACAAAGCCAAAATAAAACGGTATCGTCTAGCGCGCATAATGGGACAAGCCGTACGCATGGTGAGATACCATTACAATGGCGATACCCAATATCCAATCGATGTGCTGAACTTTGCAAATACCAAGTTAGTTTGGAAGACCCTGGATGACGGTGTCATGGGAGGGCAAAGTAATACGTGTCTGTCACACACATCCGAAAGGCATTTGTGCTTCGAAGGCGTGATTAACACATCGGGCGGTGGGTTTGCTTCGGCACGTGCAGTGTTACCCGAACTATCGGAACAAGCGTTGAACAGCGATAACGAGAGTACAAAGATAGACTATATAGATAAACATAGCATAAAGATACGTTGTAAAGGTGATGGGAAGACATTTAAACTAATTATGTCCGCAGGCAACGCTGGTGGACCTTTCGCCCGCAATCCATCGTGGCAGGCTGACATTACCACAAATAGGGTCATTGAGCATGACGACGAAAATTCAGTAAACAAACCTACTGCAATGCTTACTACTTTAGACGGAAGGTCGATCACGAGAGACGGAGATATTACCGATGAGAATATTGGCGATAAAGTTGTAGATACTAATACCGATGAAGACGATTGGGATGAACAAATGATCCCATTTACTGCATTTATGCCCACATGGGGGGGGAAGCCAAGTAGTAGACCACCTGCAGAAGAAAAGACGAAGCACACATTTGATATTATGCAAATGAGGGAGATTGGCATTATGTTGTCGTTGAAGTTATCGGATGGAAGCCCCAACCCGAAAGAAACTTTTGGGGAAGGGGTGTTTCCTTTTTCACACATGTTCAGTCGCTTTCACTAGTGTGAATTGTTATTATGCGATATTGTAAGTTAGGAAAATATATAATCAGTTGAGCATTTTTACACAGTATAAAAATGAAGGAGCATGTATACGCTTATTTAGTTCGCTAATCAGTGCTGCATCGCAACATACGAGAGAAAAACCCCCCAAGTATATTTAAAACAATTGCAGAATGTAACGAGACATATCTTTTAACACTGTGTCTGCTGACGGATGAGCAATGTTTTTATACACCTTGCCACTTTAATAGCAACCAATACCTGATATTAAATCCATATGAAACCAACTGTGATTATCGGTCACAAAATATATTAGACACAAAAATCGTATAAGCTCAAACAATTGTACAAGGTTGAGGTCTCTGATATTGAGGAATCCTATTTTTGAATTAGTTGAAACAGCGATGAGTGTTTGTACCAATATATTCTTAGTAGAACATGTATCTACTACCAAATTTGGTATACAAATAAACATCTCTCCCCACACACCAATTATTGCCATACTCAATCTCTGTGCCGGGCTTCACGCATTGTTCATAACATGTTAAGAATGCTAAAATTGTATGCACCAGCAAGGAAATACACCCCCGTGTTTCTCTTTTAGAGTTTTAAATCTATTATGTACAGTATTATAGGACTTCAACTACTGAATAATAATTTGTACCTGCTTGGCACATACAAAACATATCCTGGTCCCGTTGACACATATTTTATTCGCTATATTGACTTTCAAGTATGTAAAGTGTTTGTCACGCCACAGTAGGTCGTTTCACAACAAGCGGATACTACTTCAATGTGCAGACATCTCATAGGTAGCAGATTTATATGTAAAGAATAAAATAGACGAACTAGTGTGGGTGAACGCGTTAACATACAACTTACAACTTATTCCTTTTCTACAAAGAATAGTGCACACAAACACTAACTCCATGTACTCTAACGACTCTGAATTGTAGCACTGAGTCTGTTGCCTCTGTGTCCTCAATCCTTGCGTCGTCAAACAGTAGGTATGCAGTACATAATCTCCTCAGCTGCCAGAACTTTTATTTTCTATCTGTGTGTAGCACTGTAGAGTATGTAAGTTGCAACAACAATTAGAAGTGCAAGTATCCAACTAACCCCAGACCTTTCCTACTATAGTATCTCACTATAATACATGTAAACGTATTGCCAAGTGGGTACACACGCAAAAATCGACACATGTATCCTGCTACTCGTATGGCCTACGTTCCTACACCAGCACTGGCCACTGAGCAAATCCCAATTAAAGTCCGCTCTAGGGGTGCGCTATAGTAGCAGTGTATAAGTGTATATGTCTTCGAACGGTTAGTGGGACATGTAGACATTCTTGTTATACGTCCCAAAACACATAAACATGCGTTCAGTGTATTCATCTGTTGTCCACTCAAATCTCGGCAACTGTTGGAGCGGCCGGGTAAGTACAAAACCTGTGAAGGTAAATACATAGTATTCATATCAGTACAATAGCATATACCACTTTACACATGCTGTACCGAACTGTAACTATATTTATATATAATATGAATGTTTGTATGAAAGCCCGCTTTTTTTATTTGTAACATATTCAAGGTTGGTGGGGACTGGGGAGTGGGGTTGACTGGGGGGGGACAACGGGACAAGTGATGTTGAGGCTCAACACGGTTTGCGTTAAAACGTATAAATACTTGAGATAGAAGCTTTTCTGTGTAAAACATTTGTAAAGGTGAGTCTCCGCTCAACGGTTTTAACGGATTTGATGAACAGTGTCCTTTTGTGTCATCGGTAAATGCAAATGAACTGTCAAATTGCGCTGTGGTGGTCCGTTGAAGAATATGTAGTTCTACATACTTGAGAATATTTTTTTATCTGTATAGCCGTGTACGTCCTTCAGCATATACTTTGTTACTTACGTGTGTAACTCACCGGACATACACTGTTCAAGGTATTCATACACTAGTGAGTGTTTGTAGATATACCACCTATGGAGGGCGAACAAGCAGGTGAGACGACAGATTGTGAGAGGCATGCAGTAGAATCCTTCACAAGACGTATTGGTCACAAAGTCACGATCATCACAACGTATGTGTGGAGATACACATAATACGTAGAACGCTCTGAGCACGCCAATCAATCAAACGCCGTATATATACAGTCATACCTACATACAAACACTTCATTCTTCTACACACACAAGCTTGGTCATGTGCATGGTATGTATATCTTTATCTCCACTCAATCAATATCAATTACATCACATTAGCGTTTTCGTGGTGTCACTCGCCTGATGCTCTCGGCGATGGCAGGCGAAGATGGCGGTGTGGTTAATGCAGTCACTTTGGGGAGAGATAATGTACAGGCATCTAGTGATTTGACAAAAGAATTAGGTGTGAATGGTATAGAACAAGGTACATGTCGTGCAGATGATGTAGCTAAGACGTGCAGTTCCAAAGAGCCGATAGTGGGAAACCATGTACACAACCCATTTGCAGCACACACGCAAGTTGCAGGCAGTCATGACAATGATGTTGTGAATACCTCCAACGGATTATCGAGTAGGGCAGGTGTGCTGCGTGGCGACAATGTATTTGCACCAGACCCCAAACAACCGGGACATGTACGTACACTCACTGATACCTTTGCCAGACACGTGCTTACATGCGATGAATCATATCCGATTGAAGTTGTATCGCGCGTGCGACAAGAAGAGCACGCCCGTGCTATAGATACGCACAATCCCACTGTGGCCTCCGATGCTTGGCTGCTGATGGAGATGAACGAGTGGGGGTTTGGTGATGACACGATTGCGAATGCGAATGGGATTGATGTAGTGGAACGTATGGAGGGAGCCAATGCGGAACAGTACAACCCACACATGCAAGTAGATGAACACAATGTACACACTCAAGTATATGACCACGGAACATACACGAAAGTGGATGAACTCAGCACTCACATGCAAGGAGATGATAACAATACACACACGCAAGTAGATGACCACGTAACACACACGAGAGTAGATGATCACAATACACACGTGCAACTAGATGTACTCAGCACACACACGCAAGTAGATGAACTCGGCACACACGCACAAATGGATGATCACAACACAAGCACGAAATTCACTGACCAGGAAGATGGTACGATAGTATATGAACAGGAGAGTGATACGACTTTAGAACAGCCAAACTTAGACACAGGTACGCACACTATCACCGAGCCTCAGCACCAGTTACCACTAGTTGAGCATGGCCCAATCTCTGCAGTGCACATTGCACCCACACCCACACCCTGTGACAGTGTAGGGCTACCCCATACACATACACAGCCACACCGCACACCCATGCAGGAGGTCAGGCTGTCGACTGCAGACACCCCACAAGCTGTCGCCAATGCAGTTGCACTCAGTCCGTTGGACGGCGAGACATACGCACAGGAGCCGCTGAGTGCGCAGAGTGCAGTTACTAGCACAGTGGTTGGTACTACGAGCCCTGTGTTAGAGACAGAAACAGCCAGACAGGAGCCTCTGAGTGCGCAGAGTGCAGTTACCAGCACAGTGGTTGGTACTACGAGCCTTGTGTTAAGGATAGTGACAGCCACACAGGAGCCTCTGGGTGCGCAGAGTGCAGTTACTAGCACAGTGGTTGGTACTACGAGCCCTGTGTTAAGGACAGAGACAGCCACACAGGAGCCTCTGAGTGCACAGAGTGCAGTTACCAGCACAGTGGCTGGTACTACGAACCCTGTGTTAAGGACCGAGACAGCCACACAGGGTGCTGAGGGTGTGGATGGCGATGTGGTGTCCACTGGTGCCACTGTTGCGGTGCAGCAGACACGTGCACGTGTACAGAATGGGATGGACGTCGATGCAGCAAACGTAACTGTGCACGCGACGCATCCGCGGCTGGCTGGTACGTTACAAGCAGGCAGAGAGCCCCAGAATGAGATACGGGGAGAAGTATTGGAAGGTATACAGGACACCCCTTTAGTATCAGAGAAGGCGGAACGGTTTGTTCATGGAGCTCGAATAGATACGCAAGTGTCTAGTTTAGTAGAAACAACAAAGGACGTGCCTATGACTAAACACGGGATGGACGCCGGTGTGACGAACGCAGCTGCACAGCCGAATTTATCGCACATGGCTGGTACGTTACAAGCAAGTGGAGAGTCCCCGAATGAGATACATAGAGAAGTATTGGAATGTGCACAGGATGATCCAGCATTGTCAGAGAAGGTGCCACGGGAGACGCAGGCACCACCAATAGACATGCAACCGTCTGGTGTATTGAATATAACAAACCACATACCTGTGCCTGACCATGGGATGTCATCACCAGCCACAGCAGGCGGTGTGCAAATGGGAGCGGCAGACGATGGGTCGAACGGCCGATGTACATTGGCTGTAGAAGGAGTGGGTAATGGGGTAACACCGATTACGTCTGCGTTAGATAAGCCCACATCAAACACGCTCACGCCGAATAATCTCGCGCCAAATAATGCCGCGGCGAATAATTTGGCGCCGAACAATCTCGCGCCGAATAAGGAGGAGCAAGGCATGGCGCCACAGGTCGCACAAAACGTTATACAGCAGCACATCCAGTTACAACAGCGCGCCACGCAACTGCAGCTCGAGCACATGCCACACGCACGTGCACAGCAAATGAAAACGCACACACGTGCACAGCATATGACCACACACACACGTTCACAGCATATGAACACACACACACGTGCACAGCGTATGAACACACACCCACAACCGCACATTATGAACACACACATACAGACTCAGAAGACGAACACACACGCACACGCACAGAATAAGCACAGACTTCCCGGGAGAGTGCTGAAGCCAGGGCCGTATGCAGTCGAGCACCAGCTGCCAGAGGGCATCGTGGTGTCGTACCACTCCTCACACCACGTGCCTACCCCAGCACACCACGTGGACCCTTTGACAACGAGCTCACACCCCTCTGAAAAGCACGTGCGTGGTGGGGCAGGGGAGTCATGTGACACCGAACACCGTGCGGCGATGGAGAAGCAGCTCACAGGAGAACCAACTTCTACATCGGTCGAAGTTGCTTCATCTGTGGCAAAACCAGAAATAGAAACTGAGAAACCGCCGTTACCGCACCCACAACCGCACCCGCAATCGCAATCGCACCCACACCAACAAATCGTACCTGATAGAATATATACACACCCCACTGAGCAAGACGCTCACCAGGCGGCGACCACGCCTTCAGAAAATTATCATGCGCCAAACAAGCTTTCAGTGGATGAGCATGCGCCAAATAAGCTTCCAATGGAAAATCATGCGCCAAATAAGCTTCCAGTGGATTATTCTGTGCCGAATAAGCCTTTAGTGGATTATCACGCGCCAAATAGGCCTTCAGTGGAGGAGTATGCGGCAAACAGTCCTACAGTTGGAAGTAATACACCGGATACTCCTGCACTAGTTACCACATCAGAGAACTCACATGGACACACTGAGCTGTGGAAAGGCGGCGCAACTTCACCCGTACAGATGGATACGGAGCCCCGTATAGGATACCGTAGTACCGAACCGGTAAAGGTAAACTTGGAGGGGAATCCATATAGTGGAACAGACGCGCAACCCGGTAGAGATATCGCAAATGCGAGGGATGTCGCAAATGGGAGGCGTATTATATCTGGAATGCCGTTGCCGAACATGGGTCCGAACATGGGTCCAGGAGGAGGCAAGATGAGATGGAGAGTGTTTAAAGGACAACCGCAGCACATACTGAAGATGCACAACCCAGCACAGCAGTACCGTACACAAGAAACACAGTCACATACAGGACCATACACCCACCGTGGAGAGTCCGAGGTATACAAACTGGTGAGGCAGAAGTCGGGTAAGCTGGAGATGCAGCGACAGGTGATGGGTGTGGCACAGGACAGCGAAGCGACGGGTCATGCGACACAGTCTATGGCACCGGCTATGCAGGCACCGCCAATGGACATGCCAGCTGAGCATAGGGGCGTGAGTGCGGTAGAAACCCAGGCTACGGCACTGCCAACACACACAGAATCCCGTGACAGGTCACAGGCGGCAGAGATACCACCCCCAACACACGCTGGTGCATATGCACACTCATACAGGCATTCGACGGCACATTTGGAAACACGTCCACACACACACGCACAGCCGTTGGAAGAGATGGAGATGCAGAAACGGTCACGGTTCGAGTCACACACACAAGCACCGGTGGTGACTAAACACTCTGGGTCACAACCACCAGCGGAAAAGCAAACACGCGCGGTAGCGCCAGCAGACAGGGACGCACACGCACAAGCATATACAGACGCACGCGCGCAAGCATATACAAACGCACATTTTGAAGTACGTACACAAGCACAAGCACATTCAGAGGCATATCAACTCTCGCTACGGCTGCAGGCAGAGTTACAACGGCAGATAGAGGCTCAGAGTATGTATACGCAGGACCATACACGCAGGAATGAAGGGGCTGGGACAAGCTCACAGCTGCACGCAGATCGCCTCAGGAATGCTCGAGACCCCCGCCCAAGTGGTTACACACAGCACGCGGACGTGAACGGGCGGTATAGGTATGGTCACATACCTACAGCAGCGGCTGACAACCACGCGCGCGCAGGGGTTACAGGGCAACGCGGTATGTTCTCGCAGACACGCAATAAGCCGCAGAAGCGAAAGGCGGTTGCTATCACCGCACACACTCTGACGAAGACTATCGACCGTGTTAATGAACAGCTGGTGCTACAGGCGATGCAAGAGATATCCCGTAAGCACGTACGTGCGGCAGTATTCGAGGAGGTGGCCATGTTGAATCGCTCTATAGCCGGCACAGGTGTGATCACAATGTGTATGATTATATATATAGATATAGATATCTGTCTATGTATATATATATATATATATATATATATGCGTGTATATGTGCGTATAAACATATTCATATTAAGGATCTTCGTTCATGCGCGTGTACGCAGCGGCATATATTTGTCACGCACATAAATATAAACATATACAAAACGTAGTGCCCCACTAACTCTCACTATACTAAAATCAAATGTATATTTATGTGTACACGCACGCACTCATATATATATATATATTTATATATATATATATATCACGTTTGTTCGCACACGCACATTGCGATATTTGTATAATGATATTACTATCCATGTATTTTCAATATGTATCCAACAGACCCAGATACCGCCGTGAGAGCTGAAGCCCAGACGGAAGGGTTGAGTTCTATAAACCGAGCTCCGTCCTTCGCTGCCACAGCCTCTAAGTCACACGTTGCCTCTCGACCAATCAAAAGGATTAAAATGTCCACTGACCATGATATGAGCTCGGAACCAACAACCCGTAAAACGTTGCCTGAAGTCCTCACCAATCCTAAACCCAAACTCAAACGGAAACCCAAAAAGAAGCAATCGAATGCTAAACCGAAAACCGCACCCAATAAACCTACATCTGAAGCCGATATCGAGCTAGAAACTGAGACAGAACCAGAACCTGAATCTGAGCCAGACACCAGAGCTGCGTACAGGCCCCTTCCCTTGGCGTCTGCGGCGGCATTGCAAAAATTGGTACCTTTGTTAGAGGCTGAGCTTATGGTGACAGTTGGTCCAGGTATGAGTGACTTACTAGTGCATATACTATCTAAGGTGACTAAGCTTGTCGACATGGGATTTTCGTGATACGAGAGTTTACATATATTTGGGTTTAAGGTTTATTCAGAGTGTTTGAGGTTGGAAGTATGCGTTGGAATGAATATCAATACCAAATCAATTCAGCTGTACTTTCAATACCAATTATATACACATGTTTACGAAGTTCAATTATTTTCTAGATTTTGAGCATAACATGTGAGAATACATTCTCACCATTTCTATGCCATTGAATGCAACCGGTTCGCTGATACTTTTAGTTTTATGTGTGCGTTGTCCTACATAGAGGTATGCGTAATCTTCTTCTCTCGTGTGAACCATCGGTAGCATTTTGTGTGTCCGTTTTGTACCATATCTATTCGTAACTTGGTTGTGGACATTCGAGAAAAACTATACGCCATGAATAAGATTCCGCGCACATGCTGAATTTAGATTACATACATATTGTTCATACGTGTTTCATCTAGCAAACACGTCCCATGGCGCGCTGCAACATTGCCGGATCTTGAACACCAAACCAAGTTTTTCTCCCGGCTACTGTGAACTCCCGATAAACCCTGATTAATATACCCTGATTTTTCCCTATCCACCAGATGGTCCGATGTACGATCTGCCCATTGCTCTCCCCGTTGCCATGGAGTATCTCAACGACACTGCAATCATGGATGTGGATGACGAAGACCTAGCAATTATGCGAGAACTTGTGCTGGTATGTGTGTTATATATAGTGTTTTGGGGTGTAGGGCTTTGTCAGGCTTCAAGAGCCTGGTAATTAATTGATCATGCGGCAATTGACTTGTATGTCTGTTATGTATAGTGTTTTAGGGTGTAGGGTTTTTTTTAGGCTTCAAGGGCCGGATTAACACTAATCATGCGCGATCATGCACTAATCATGCGCGATCATGCGCGATCATGTGCTGGTATGTGTGTTTATATAGAAGGCTACTTTATGCTTGGTATATTGGAGGTTTCTTTTTGGTTATAAGAAATGTTGATGACACGAGAGCAAGTGCATGGGACGAGAGTGTGTGAAGAATGCTGAGATAATGTTTCTGTTTTAGGATTTTGGATGTTATTATAATGTAAGGGCCCGGTCCTCATGCGGGGACTTGAGCTAATACGTATGGTTTCGATATAGGATTCGAAGCTTCGTTTGATATTTGAGATCTTATAAATTTGCAATAATCTGTATGGAAACGTGTCGGTCTATTTTAGGATTATGTCGGATTTCAAGGTCCTGACCACCATATTAAACACGTGCTGAGTGTGTAAGGAATTGTTTCAGGATTTAAGTCCGAGTTAGGGATCACAGGGCTAACAATCAAGCCAGCAATTGTGGTGTGTTTGCGGGTGTGCTTTGTTTCCGATGTATTAGTCTAGGCTCAGTCTGTGCTGCTCAGTTGTTCACAACACAGTCGTACAGCGTTGCGTACTTTGACATGCTGGAGTAAGATAGAGCATAAAAAGTTGTCAGTGCGTTCAAAACGTTGCTTTTCGGATGAACGTGATCTGGTTGCTTTTCACACATGATTTGTGCATTTTCTCCCCAAGTCCAACTATTATATCGACACATACCCCCACAGTCATCGAGCTTGTAATGGTTGCCTGGTTGCATCTCTATTTTTTTTGTTCCTGTGTTAGTTTTCTGGTTTCTACTCTCATTCATCTTGTGCCTATATTTATAATCGCTCAGGGCTATCCCGAGGTGTTGTCAAGTGCTCTGCCCCACTCAAACGAATTATTGTCCAGCGATGGCGCAAAAAGAAACAAAAGCAAAGAGACACGTCCGGTTAAAGGTTC